GACTACCGGTTGGCGTCATAGCATAGATAATCTATAGACTAAAATGGCCGACAGCGTTTTTGTATATCCATGAAAATGTTATTATAAAATTAAAGATTCATAGCTTTCTAGGTCTCAAAATAATACAATACTATTTTTTTCGGACTAATAGTACATTTAAAACCTTTTTCCAAAAAGGGTCAACTAGCCTATTACTGAGTCAACATAAAACATGAAAGTTGAACAAACAGAAGTTATGCAAATCATACACAAAGTTACAACAATTAGTAATAATCATAATTAATCTTTATTGTCCTTCCAAAACACAACCAATGGGTACGATAAATATATTATTTATTTAAAAAAAATATCCTTGTATCCTTTGCACCACTTAGAATCCTTCGTTGCTACAGTAGGGATCCATCTTAAATTTCTTTTATATTTGCACTAATTGCATATAAAAGTATCAATTTGATAAAACGCGCTATACTAAACATCGCCGCGTCGTAGTCGTCTCGGTCGTGCGACTCTCACAGACTCGCGGCCGTATTTAACTAACTGCAGCGGCGCAGTTTTGTAAAAGGGCTCTTAACAACTTTTATTAGATACCTGTCGAAAAAAGGACACTAAGTCACAACGATACTAAAGAAGTTTTCATATCAAAAAGTGTAAACTGATCTAATTTCCTTTATAACGATCTAAGTATCCTAACAATATAAGTATACTTATATTTTTTTCTATTTTTTCCAGCATTCTGTTCTACAACTTTTGTCTGGAGTTGTGATTGAATTCTTCTTTCTAACTATCAGGGAGGAAATCCATTGACTCCTAGTGAACTATAACGTTTAACTACTTCTTCATTTCTTGTTTGACATTTGGTACTCCTAAGTCTTTGTGCAATTGATTATTTGTTATGTACCACGGAGCATCAGCAATCAAACGTAACGTTTTGGATTGAAACCGTTGTATTATTTGTATATCCAAATTGTAGTATCAGTGCAGTGCGATGCGCGCTTGGAAACGGTCGTGCGCCGTGAGGTCGGCATCCTTCAGATCTGCAAATCAAACTTCAAGGAGGATGAGGTATGCAGTGGCAAGGTGCTGTTGTTCCGGTCTGTCGGGAAGGCCGACAAGATGCCATCAAGACGGAGGGATGGTACTGAGAAGAGTGTGCTGGACATCATCACCCCCTACAAAGGAAACCGATCCGGACGATGTACCTATATTCGTGGCGAAGGAACTGCACAAGCTGCCCCCCGTCACTTTCGACCACGTCGACGTCACCAGGCTGCTGAAGGACATCAACTTCCTGAAAGCGAGTCTGGCCGATGTAGTGAGCAAGTTAGAGGACTCTAACAACACCATAGTTGAGTTGCGTGCTCAGGTAGCGTTATTAAGTAGCGCTGCCGGTGCAAGTAGGTCACCCGAGGCCTCTAAGGTGAACACACGTCGCGGGGCGCAAAATGCATCCATTGGCAGTATTGAGTCGGTGGCTGCCAGTGCGTGCCCCGCTACCCGCCGCCGCTGCCCGCCCCTCTGCCTCACCGGAGACGTCACGCGCATGCACGTCCACACAGCAACGTGCTTACGCAGTTGCAGCCTCCAGCCGGCATGCCGATGTGTAAAAAAGAGAGAAGAATAGCAAACTCTGCGTAAAACGTGCTGCTCCGGCAGTGTCACAAAATCAGATTTGCAACGAAGAGGGCTTCATCAAGGTAGAAAGGAAGAAGAGGAAGCTCGCTTGCCGCAATTTATGTGGTGTTGCCCCGACCGGACCGAACCACCTGCTGCGTCCTGCAATACCGACGACGCCGCTATACGTGTCCCGAATGCATTACTCTACGAAGGAAGAGGAGATCGTAGAGTACCTGCGAGTGAAGACGAAGTTCTCCCTGAGGGTCGCACGGTTGGAGTCCCGTCACAATGTGAATTTTAATTCATTTGTGGTGAGGGTGCCGACCGAACATCTTTTTTTTTTTTTTTTTTTTTTTATATTATTTGCAATCAGTCTTTGGACTATGAGCAAATTTATTGAGCGCAACCAAACATGACAGGAGTGGTCGGCCAGCGCCACCACTTCCTTTAAAGAACATTCTTCCTCTTCAGTCTCGAGACTCGGTCAGCTTGCTCAAGCAATTGGCATATTAAAGGATTTGGATGGTTTGAGAGGCGCTCAGTGTACCTCGATTTGCAATTGTCTATCTCTTCTGCGACAGTGGGCATGTTCAAGTATTCATGAATTTCGTCATTTTTTGTGAACCATGGTGCGTTTACTATTGTTCTGAGGATATTATTTTGAACTCGTTGCAGGCAAGTAATGTTACTTTTGCAAGCAGTGCTCCACAACTGTATCCCATAAGTCCAAACTGGTTTTATAATGGTATTGTAAATAAGAAGCTTGTTGTCGATTGACAGGGCAGAGTTACGGTTCATAAGCCAATGAAGGTTTCTGTGTTTTATATTAACTTCATCTCTCTTTTTCTTTAAGTGCTGCTTCCAGGTGAGTCTCCTATCCAAGTGGAAACCAAGATACTTGACGCAATCTGAGTGTGGGAGTGTGTCTGACCCAAGGTGAACAGGAGAACAGTTTCCCTTCCTTAATGCAAACGTAATGTGGTTCGATTTTTGACCACTGACTCGAATACGCCATTTTTTCAGCCATGCGTGAGTTTGATCTAATAGGTTCTGTAGCTTTGCACTAGCTATGTCAGGGTCTTTATCGCAGGCAAGGTATGCAATGTCATCAGCGTATGTAGCAATTACAGCGTCGCCAGCAGTGGGAAGGTCGTACGTGAATATGTTATACAGAACCGGACCAAGTACCGATCCTTGCGGGACTCCAGCCTCCACAGCTTGCAAGGAAGATCGTGAGTCATCGACTTTAACCCTGAAGTATCTTTGTGACAGGTACGATGCAATTATGAGGTAAACCGAGTGTGGTAGGTTCTTTTTAACCTTGTACAATAGGCCCTTGTGCCAAACCTTGTCAAACGCCTGTTGCACATCTAGGAAAGACGCGGAACAGTATTCTTTTCTCTCATAGCAAGTTCTTACTGTGTCATATCCACGATGCATTTGTTCTATGGTGGAGTGGGATTTTCTAAAACCAAATTGATGTGTAGGGATGAGGTCACATTTATCCATGCAATATTTAAGGCGGGTAAGGAAAATCTTTTCCCACAGTTTAGAAAGTGTAGGCGTCAAGCTAATGGGTCTGTAGGATGTGGGTTCATGTATAGGTTTTCCTGGTTTGTGTATCATGATGATTTCAGAGATCTTCCATATGGCTGGGAAACAAGTCGTCCTAAATATGGCGTTAAACAGGCATGCCAGGAAGGTGATACATTTTCTAGGAAGTTCTTTTAAGACCCGTGTTGAAATGAGGTCGAAACCAGGATGGAGGACCGAACATCTAGCGACTTTTTTGAAAGAAGAACTTTGGCCGCAAGTTGTCGTGTTCCGGTGATTCCGAGGCCGGTTACCTGATACCGCTATGCGCCACACGTCGCCGTCTATACGTGTTAATTAGGTGTTTACTAACATAGCTACTAATTCTATTTACTAACAATAATGTTTTTATATCTGTATATATGTTAGACTTTAAGGTATTCTATATCTATGGGCCTATGTAGCCTGATCATAAATAAATAAATAAAAAAAATAAAAATAAAAAAAATTGGCTTCATACGCACTTCTATATAAATAATTTATTCTCCAAAGAAAGTTCAGATTTGCGGTTCATTAGCCAAAATAGATTTCTTTCCTGAAGTCCCAGGGCTTCCCTTTTCGTGAAGATGTGGTGTTTTCATGTCATGTATGTCCAAATGTGATCCGTGGTATCTGGTGTTTTCTGCTTGAGGCAATGGTATGTCGTTAAGAAAAACTGTGGGGCACGTATCATGTCTCAGTGTGAATGCTCTAATACCCCAGTTTTTGAGCTAACAAGATACTAAATCCAGACTTTGCTGCAGTATTTCAGATGCCACCACTGCATTCTAATGACTAGCAAATATAGCAGTATCATCAGCAAATGTGCCAACCAGAACTGCGTCATCAGATGGTAAGTAGGTATAGTGGTGGCCCCATGACGCTACCCTTCAATATGGTGTAAGGATGATGATGATGATATTGTCTCCTTCTTTAACGTAGAATTGGCATTCCTTTAGATATGGTTTTATAAATGTGTAGTAGTTTGCGGAAAAATTTAAAGAGATTTTGTGTAATAATCTGTCATGCCAGACACGGTCACACGCCTGTGAAATGTCCAGGAATGCAGAGGTGCAAAACTGTCACACTTACCTACTATTGAATAATAGAAGAATACTTATATAATTCTTCTATTATTCAATAGAATTTCAATTTAAAAAAATTCAATTGGATTTAAAATATTAACACGAGTTATATCTTTTGTCAAAAAAAAATAATGAAAGAACATTCACTTTGTCATATACACATCATAGACAACAAACACAAAAAAATCTCAATTTGGGCTCACAAATTATTTTCGTTTCTATACGGTTTAAAAACATACTGATAAGAAACAAAAATAGCTTATTTTTCAGATATTCATAATATAACTAATAAAATCAATTTTAATTTAAGTCCAGTTATATCACTTTTCATGAACGTACAGAATTGTGTTAGGTTCCAAGTTTACCAAAGTAGTGGACATTGAAAATACCCGTGCAAGGTTAAAATTTGAAACATTTTTGCAATCATGCGGCGAGTCAGTATCAAGTCGCATTAAAATGTTGACTGAATACATCATCTGGTGGAGATTATCAACAATAGGAGTGTAGAATTGTTCCGATTTTCTTGTTCGTAGTGGTGGTGGCTAAGTTTGAACTACAAGCTAATCTCAGTAGACATGTTCTTAATTCAATGAATGATAATACTTTTTGCAGATAAACAACAAGCTTGCATGTTTTAGGTTAGTAATCTAGGGTTACTTCCAAATACCATTGTTATCAATTTGTGATCAGTACATTAAAAATCTAACTAAAACATATTAATGTGATTACTTTGCCTATAAGGGGTAAGTCAACCGCTCCCCAAGTGTCAGCTGCCCAGTGCACTACACCTGAAGCGAAATCTGCTGTGAGGACCCCAGCAATAGCAGCTACTAACAGAGACGGTTCAGCTCTGATGTGTCTGGCCATGAGGGCACCAGCACAAATGCATAAAGTGCAACAAACCACCACACACACCCACTCCTGCAGTCTTTTTCCTGCAGAAACAAATTTATTATGAACTCCTACAAGAAGATATATTATAATTATAAAACAAAGTTTAGAGCAACTATTTTTTAATATTTTATCGCCATATACATGTACAAATATAACAGTGAAATACTTAATCTGTAGTAAAAACAATACCTTTAAACCAATATTATACCAACAAGCATGACATGCTTTTTAAAATATTTTGAGCAAAACATTATAAGAAATATAATAAATGGATAATAACAGATCATGACTATGATAACATTTAACTAACTGAAGTTCCTCATCAATTCCTAGTTAAATAACCACCACCATAAAAAAAACTTGTTATCAAAATCACAGTCTCACCTGGGCTATATAATTCTGCAAGTTCTTGAGCACCACGGTGCCTTGGACCCCAACGAGGTTGAGAACCAACTACACTTGGTAACTGAATATTAGCATTAGGATCATCTTCTGACATAGAATGCTCAAGAATTTGCCGTTCTGTTTTCACTGGAGCTAATAAAGTTGTGGCCATTGTACTAGCATATTCAAAACGATCACAACTTAAACCATTGCGACCATCTCTTTTAGCGCAAGGTGATATAGGCAAAGGTAAAGCCATTGCTTAAGACAGGTACACAAAAATGTACGCGATGTTAATATCAGTATAAATTTTTATATGCCTCTAAACTTCAGTCAATCTAAAAACATTACGATTAAAGTAACACTAAAAACATACAATGAACAAAGATATTGCAATAATATCACAATAAATTCATTTATTCACTAAAACATCAAAACACAACGGAACCGAAAAATAATGTGAATGACACTAGGTGTGAGCGTTCTAAAGACGAACCGGTTTCAAGGACCGTTTTGTGTTCCGCGACGATAGAACCGTTTTACGTTTCGGATCAAAACAGTCTTCGTCGAACAACTAGTCTTCAGATTGTCTGCACGCCAATATGTACTTTATGATGATAAAATACAGTCTATAATAGAACGCAATGATATGACATGCCGTTTCGTTCTATGATAATTCAGCTGTGATTTTACAATAATATAATCTTTATTATTGAATACTTAAAGTCGATTATCGTATAACACTACATTTATTTCGATGTTTCGTCGTTTCGTTCGCAGCAACGAAACGAACGTTAACAAGATTTCATTTAGTTCAGTTTCGTTGCGTTCATTCGTTCGACCGTCGCGTGTCGTTTCGTTGCATCACCCAGCCGCAACCATAACCAGTTGCGAACGAGAACCGTTTCGAGGACTAGTTTTCGTTTAAGAGAAAACGGTTGCGTTTCGTCGTCAGAAAATTTGAGAACGACCCACCGCTAAATGACACATAGGATTTTTTTTTTTTTTTTAATCTTTTTTCCCATCTTGGGAAAGGCAAAGGCAGAGCCATGCAGCCATAGTCTTCATTTAAAGGATTTTTTTTTTGTTTCTTTTTGACGTGACAACGTCTTAAATTAGGTTGCGGCTGGGAGTCACTTATGAAAAAGTGTAACGCTCGGTAACGTTACGATGAGTCTCTCGTGTTAAGTTTAAGTTTACATGTACAATGTTTTAGTAAACAAAATATATTTCTATAGTTAAAATTTGTGCAATTCTTATTTTCATTCAATTCCTTGTTCCTATTGTGCAATTTAATTATATTCATATCAATAAATATTCTACCGAGAAAAAGACGTTGTCACGTAAAATCTTCGCCCGTAAAACCGACTTTACAGGCAACCATTTTTCTATAAGGCCGAAGCCACTTCTTTAATCATAAGATATTTGTCTTAAATAGTCTTTCTAATCCATTTTCAGTTTAGGTACTTATTGTTTCCCCCAAATTTTCAAATCCGATTTTGAATCTTCTTTCAATTTGAATCTTCTTTCTTTCAATCTTATTTGTTTAAAGTCATGAAATTTTTTAAAGTTCCATATCTATGGAAACTAAAAAAATATATAGATATTTGTATGATTTTGGATTCATAACAATGTCTTGAATGTCGCGCGGGATTTCATTATTAGTTTTATATAATTTAATTAAATTGTCAGCTAAAACAAGTCTTTGTATATTATATGCTGTACATTCAAAAAATATATGGTTTAGTGATCTTTATTTAAATTACAGTTTGTGCATAACGGAGATGTAATTATATTCATTCTATATAAATGTGAATTAAAACGTCCATGTCCAATTCTCAAGCGTGTGATGGTCGTATAAAATTTCCGACTATGGTATTCTTTAGATTTTGTAAACCATGGATGTTGACCAATTACATTATTAATTTTATGATACCATTTTCCTTTTATTACTAGCGTTTGATGCCAATTAATCAACCAATCTTGTTTTAACAAAAGTTTTAGTTTGGGTAATAAATCTGAAAAAGGTATGGCAACATTTTTAAAGTCAACGTCATCATTGCTTCGATTTAAAATGGTTCTGGCTAACGTATCAGCTTTTTCATTTCCGATGACTCCTATGTGCGACGGAACCCACATTAAAACTATTTGTACATTGAGGACTTTAAGTTTGTGGTACATTTTTTTAATATCATGTAAAATAAAATTACTTCCAGAGTCAAATCTATTGTTTCGCAAAGCTTGTAAACAACTCATGCTGTCTGTTAACACCAACCATTGAGTGCACTCCTGAATATTTTCCTCTATAAACTCCAATGCAGAAAGAATTGCAAGACACTCCGCAGAAAATATGCTCATCTGGCTTGGAAGTTTGTACCCTAGACCCGTTTTCAAATGAGGTATGTAAATCGCCATTGAAACATTATCATCATTCTTGGAACCGTCTGTATAAATATGTTTATGATTGGAAAACTTATCAATCTTTTTGTAAACTTCTTCTTTAAATTTCAAGTCGGGCGATATATGGATGCTTATGTCACAGAAATGCATATCATAAGTTTCTTTGTAACATATCCAATTATGCTCAGTTTTATTAATGTTGTACTGCTGGTTGTAATTAATATATTCTGAGAAGTCATGAAGCAAATAAGGGATCCTAGACATATTAGTTGGAGAGTATATTCCATATAGAAAGTTAATTTTTTTAATTAATGGATGGGAATGAAATGACAGTAATTTAATCAAAAACTTTGATTTTAAAAATTTAAATCTTAATTGAAGTGGAGGTGTATTGCATTCTACTTCCAGAGAGTTGATAGGAGAGGTTTTCATAGCACCCGTTATGCATCTAAGATTATGATTCTGCAAGACTTCTAATTTTCTTACTAATTGAGAATCAGATCCAAAACATAAAAATCCATATTCAAAGTGACTTCTAACAATTGACTTGTATAACATCAATAATATTTTAGGGTCAATTTTTGATAAACATTTTATGACATTGTAGGCTTTGTAAGCTTTCCCCAAAAGATATTCTACATATTTTTTCCATGAAAGATTATTGGTGAAAATAACACCCAAAAATTTTACTTCACTCTCTACAGGGACAATGACATTATTATATACAATATCAACATTTGTATCACAATCACCAAATACAACTTAGATTTGTCAGGGCTAATATCTAAATTTAAATAACTGAAATATTCATTTAATTTTAAAAGTGCTCTATTTATAGTAGAGGTTACCTGTTGAATATCAGAACCTGAATGGTAAATGACCAAGTCATCAGCAAATTGCAAGTTTTTTACTTGTGATCCTAAAATGATGTTTAGTTTGTGTACATAAAGAATGTAAAACAATGGAGATAGAATTCCTCCTTGACAGACACCTTTATATGAATAGCGTGGTCCTATTAATTGATTATTAGACTTGACATAAACCTCACTACCATGCAAAAAATTAAAAATCCACATAACTACTTTTTCAGGAAAACCAAGAGAAAAAAGTTCATGAGGATTTACATTATTGAAAGCACCAACAACATCAAAGAACACACCAATAAGGACTTCATCTTGTTTAAGTGCATCAAAAATGTCTAGTTGAAGATGTGCTATACTCTCTCTAGAGGATCGGCCCCTGCGAAAACCAAATTGATTGGAAGGTAATAGATTATTGCTTTCAATGAAAAATTCAACTCTTTGTTTGAGTAGCTGTTCAAATACTTTTCCCATACATGATGTCAATGCTATTGGCCGGTATGAATTTGCTTTAGTCTTATCTTTATTTGGTTTCAAAATGGGGACCAAACAATCTTTTTTCCAGTCAATAGGTATAACACAGCAAGACCATAACAAATTATAAACTTTTAAGATGATATTCTTTGTTTTATCTGTAGTATATTTTAGCATTTTATAAGGAATACCATCGAGGCCATGAGCTGTATCCCTACGAGTAGAAACTGCAGTTTTAAATTCTTGTATGTTAAATGGCATTTCTAAGTATTTACAATTATGTACAGGATTCCTATTTACAAATGTCAAAGGGACCTCTACGGTATCTGGTGTATATTTTTTGAGAAATTCTGGTACCCATTCACTATATACATTTTTAGATGGAACAGAAATACCATTAAACCTCCTGACAATCCTCCAGAGCTTTGAAATAGGAGTACATCGATTAAGTGATTCACACAATGACATCCAACTTAAGTTCCTTTCCTTTTTTAAAATGAGCTTTTTCAAAGCTTGTAACTTTTTAAACTTAAGGTAACTTTCTTCTGAGAGGTTATGCTTAAATTCGGTATAAGCTTTCCTACAATTATCTACAGCTGTTTTGCAGTTGTTATTCCACCAAGGCAATGAAACACGTTTCTTAAAAGCTTTTAGAACTGATATTTGTGGTTGAACAAACTGTCTACTAGTGTGAGTAACAGACTGCTGCAGCGCTAGATTTAATAATATTACCATATCTGAATAACATTTTAATGGATTAGACTGGTCAAATTGTAAATTGTTATTTAATAAGAAATCTACATTTTCACTATATTTTTGCCAGTCTACTAGACGGAAATTAAAATATGTAGGGAGTGCAAGTAAATTTTCAAATGAGTCTTTATTATTACTAATTTCTAATTTTGTAATTACAGGTAAATGGTAGCTGCCTAAAGGGTCATCAGAAACAGACCATTCACATCTCAAAGCCAAAGAGGGTGATACTAGTGTTAAATCCAAAGCATTCCTTTGCCATACACTAGAGCCAACAGTTGTCAGCTGACCATCATTTAGGAGTACTAAGTTGTTGTCATTGATGCTTTCAATAATATCGCGCCCACGTGAATCAATAGAGCTACAGCCCCATGCTGTATGCCGGGCGTTAAAATCGCCAGCAATCAGCAAAGGCCCAGGGATACTGCTGATTAAATAATCAAGTTTTGATTTAGAAAATGAAGGGTTACAGTTACCTGGACTATATAAAGACACAAGAGAAATTTCTTGATTTCCATAATACAATCTTACAGCTATATTTTGAATTGAATCATCAAATGATGTATCTATCTTATGGAATTGCAAACTATTATGAATAAAAATGGCAACGCCATTATGGCGGTTACCTGAATCTAGTCTAATTATATCATAACTTTTGAGAGTAAACTGAATGTGTGGTTTTAACCATGTCTCAGAAATCAAAGCTACATGAATCTGATTCTCTTGTAGAAAATTTGTTAATAAGTATCTGTGTGCAGGTAAACTCTGAGCATTCCATTGCATTATATTTAAAAAATCCATAAAAAAAAAAAAAAGATTAAGTGTTTTGTTTCTTATTTTTATTTATTGTTTCCAAGAGAGTATCTTTTATACTCTGTGTGGAAATAGCTGTTTCATTGTTTTTGTTCATTGTTATTAATTTGACAATTGACTCTACAACCATATTCAAAATAAAATCAGAGTTTAATAGCAATGCTAGCATATCAGTGGGGCTTTGTTTCAAGGGAGGGAATGATTTCTCATTAATTACAGCAGAGTATGTTTTATTCTGAGCCTTTTCTCTATTTAATAATATTTTTTCTTTTTTTACAGGGCACTGTGACGAAATAGCCACATGGTTCCCCTTGCAATGACAACATACAGCATCCTGACTTGATTTTGTACAGAGTTTAAAGTTATGTGACTCACCACATATGGAGCATCGTTCTGCATTCTTACAAAATTTGGCAATATGTCCATACCTCAGGCACTTAAGACACTGCTTGACTGGGGGTATGTAGGGTCGTAATTCGAAACGCCAGCTGTTGAGGTCGACACTCTCAGGTAATACTGGGCATGAAAATGTGATAGAAACTGTCTTTGTCGGCTCCAATTTATTTTCACCATTATCAGTCCTTATTCTTCTCATAAAACGTCGAATGCTTACGATATTTTTTGTAGAAGTCAATGCAGAGTATATTTGTTCATTCGATAATTCTGTGGGCACATGAGTGATGACAC